TTTGCTTAAAATACAAATTAGTCCCTGTGATTTGAAAAATTACAAATACCCCCTTATTAAAAAATTTTATTTAACAGAATTAACTAAAAAAAATAAAATTCATAATTGCTCTCCTATAAAATAATAAAATTACCTAAATTATTAATTGAAACATATTTTTAACATTATTAAAAATTGTTAATTAACTTAATAATTTATTAATAAAATAGGTAATTTGTTATGAAATTAGAAACCTTAAGGGGTAGAATATAATTTTCAAAATTACAGGGAGCGATTTATATTTTAATAAAACCTCAGGAGGTGTATTTGTAATTTATTCATAAATTTTATAGTTGAATGATTTTTTTTTATTTTTTCTATTAAAAAAAAAGTGGATTAAATTTTGTTCAAATGAATCGGAATGGATTTGGAGCAACAATAGAAAAATTTGCTTTTAAAAATTATAACACATGCTAGTGCAAAATTTTACAATAATTATAATAGGAGTATCATGGTCAATATATTAGATGTCTCATATCTTGTCATGTTCTATTCATTCTAATCTCCTTAAACAAACATCGGATTAGATAATATTTTGTTAATCTCTCCTTATAATCCTAACTCAATCCAAACATAGGATATGATACATAATTCAAAAAAATTTATAATTCTAGGATTATTAGTCGTGTAAACATTAATTCAACTTAATCCAATGTAACTAAACAAACATGGCCTACAATCATTGAGTTGGATTTTTGTCCTGCTGATCTTAATTTGACATTAGATGAACCCGTGAACTTCCGGGTCCGGATGTGGGATCACTACTGCAATTTTTAGCACAATTGACAGTGATGTTTAATCTGTCACGTCTGTTTACAATGGAAAAATAATTTCCAAAAAGAAAATTTTGTTATTTTCAAAGTAATAAGTTATTTAAAAGGTTTTTTAGTTTGAAATAAACGAACAAATATGAATAAAATTTTGGGTATTATTTTTTAGTGATTTGTTATATATCATCTGATCTATTTTAATCATTTTGTATGGGTGGGACACATGACAAAATATTATTTTTTGTCAATATTTTTAATAATTATTTCTAAATAAAGAGTTAATCACAAGGATCAACAGAAATTGTATTATAAAAAGATAAACAAAAATCAGATGATATATAGTACTTTTATAAACATGATATAGTACTTTTATATCTATACTATTATGGCGCCGTTTGGGAAGAGGTGGGTGAGGTTAATATAGCCTAAAATGAGAAATAAGCAAAAAAGCGGCACTGTTCACAGTTTTTCAAAAAAAAAAAAAAAAAAAAGGCCCTAAATCATGCTACATCATCCGTTAATACACTAATACAATGTTTGTTTGGGCGGACATTTGCTTGGGATTGCACTAATATTTCAATAAAATTATTAATCTGATGTTTGGTTTAAAAATTGAAGTACAGACTAATAATCTATCCAGATATGGTGTCCCACATACTAATAATCTATCCAGATATGGGCCCCGTTTGGTAGAGTTGTGGGAAAGTGATTATAACTTATAGCCTAACAGCTTATAGCCTATAACTGTGAACATAAGCTGATTTTTGACTTATTAATTAAGTTTCTTCTCCCCCACTCAAAGAATAAGTTGATTTTTGACTTACAAAAAGCTATAAGCTGTATTGTTAAGCTGAACTAAACACATCAAAATAGCTTAAATTAAGCTAAAAGCTAAAATAAGCTGGAAATAAGCTGGAAATAAACCTTACCAAACAGGGCCATGGTGTCCCACATACGATGAACTATTCAATCCCATAGAGGGGGTAGGATATAAATTGGGAGATTAAGCCAAAGTGTGGACTAACTTATCAAATTGATCAAATTAACCCCCACTATATATATATATATTTGAAGAAGTTTGATTTTGGCAGAGCTTCGTTTCTACCTTCTCTCTTGTGCTATTGTTGTCTTGGGAAATCATAACTAATAGATTTCGTTTTTTACCTCATTTAAATATTTGAAATATTTAAAAAAAATTTCAATAAAATATTTTTTAATTTGTAAATATTTTAAAAAATTAAGAAAATTTTTAAATATTTAAAAAAATTCAAAACAATTTCAAAATGCAACTAATAATATGATATTGACATATTTTTTTGGCTGGAGATGATTTAAGAATAATAATATTATTATTTATAACAATTATGAATAGTAGTAATCATTAATTATCACCATAGACTTTTAATTCAACATGTCTACAATTGGTATTTTGTTTGTATCTTCTCATAAATATATTTTCTCCGTTTTCTTTATTTTCTAATATAATTATTTTTCTAAGTAGCTATATTTCACAGTTGAATGATTTTTGATTTTTTTTTGTTAAAAAAAAGAGTTAAATTTTGTTTAAATAAATATCCTTTTGAATTTGGACAGTAAATGATTGGATAATTAAAATAGCAATGCATATTTTTTAATGATTGCTTGTGTATATAAATTTTATAGTCAAATAATTTTTGATGTTTTTTGTTTAAAAAAAAAGGATTAAATTTTGTTCAAATGAATACTTTTTTGAATTTGGGCAATGAATAGTAAAATAGCAGTGCATATTTTTTAATGGTTGCTTGTTTATATATTAATTTTATAATTGAATGATTTTTGATTTTTTCTATTAAAAAAAACTGGGGATTAAATTTTGTTCAAATAAATATTTTTTTTTTAAAATTTGGGTAATGAATGATTATATGATTAAAATAGCAATGTACTTTTTTTTAATAGTTGCTTATGTATATATAAATTTTGGATAAATTACAAATAAACCACCGAGGTTTGCTTAAAATACAAATTAGCCCCTGTGATTTGAAAAATTACAAATGCTCCCTTATTAGAATTTTTTATTTAATAGAATTAACTAAAAAAAAAATTCATAATTGCTCTCCTATAAAATAATAAAATTACCTAAATTATTATTTGAAACATATTTTTAACATTATTAAAAACTGTTAATTAACTTAATAATTTATTAATAAAATAGGTAATTTGTTATGAAATTAGAAACCTCAATGAGCAGAATATAATTTTCAAAACTACAGGGGGCGATTCATATTTTAATAAAACCTCAGGAGGTGTATTTGTAATTTATCCATAAATTTTATAGTTGAATGATTTTTTTTTCTATTAAAAAAAAGTGGATTAAATTTTGTTCAAATGAATCGGAATGGATTTGGAGCAACAATAGGAAAATTTGCTTTTTAAAAATTATAACACATGCTAGTGCAAAATTTTACAATAATTATAATAGGAGTATTATAGTCAATATATTAGATGTCTCATGTCTTGTCATGTCCTATTCATTCTAATCTCCTTAAACAAATATTGGATTGAATAATATTTTGTTTATGCCTCCTCATAATCCTAACTCAATCCAAACATAGAATATGATACATAATTCAAAAAAATTCATAATTCTAAGACTATTAGCCGTGTAAATATTAATCAAATTTAATCCAGTCTACCTAAACAAACATGACCTACAATCATTGAGTTGGATTTTTGTCCGGCTGATCTTAATTTGACATTAGGTGAACCCGTGAACTTCCGGGTCCGGATGTGGGATCACTACTGCAATTTTTAGCACAATTGACAGTGATGTTTAATCTGTCACCTCTGTTTACAATGGAAAAATAATTTCCAAAAAGAAAATTTTGTTATTTTCAAAGTAATAAGTTATTTAAAAGGTTTTTTAGTTTGAAATAAATGAACAAATATGAATAAAATTTTGGGTATAATTTTTAGTGATTTGTTATATATCATCTGATCTATTTTTTTATCATTTTTATGGGTGGGACACATGACAAAATATTATTTTTTGTCAATATTTTTAATAATTATTTCTAAATAAAGAATTAATCACAATGATCAATAGAAATTGTATTATAAAAAGATAAACAAAAATCGGATGATATATAGTACCTTCATAAACATGACAACTAGTAGTTAATACATATGCATGTGACTATCTATACTATTATATAAAATATACATTGAACTTGACATCAATATTTTTGTTATTCAACTTAAATTGTATTATGAAAAGATAACAAAAACCCGTTGATATATAGTACTATTCTTTATTTTAATAGAATGTTTATAAACGTGACAACTCAGAGTTTATACATATACATGTCAATATCTATACTATCTATACTATTATATTTATAAGGTATACATTGAACTTGATATCAATATTTTTGTTATAATTTTTTTCACTAAACTACCCTTTTATAGCTACAATTGTGAAATTCAAGCACACTAATGGATCTTGCAACTGCTGATTTTAATAAGAACTATGAGTGTACACAATTTTCAATATATATATACACATATATATATACATATATATATTAGCGGTTGTTATAAATAATGTATATGCAATTCAAGTAAATAAAAATAAAAGTAAACGGTAAAGAAATTAATATCATAATAAATGTCTTACTCAAATAGTAAGAGCCTTCTTGATCAGACCAAATGTCTTGATTTTGAGTTCTATGCAATTCTCTATATAATTTTTTATTTTAAATATTTATATAATTTTTTGTTAAATACAGAAATGAAGAAACCAACTCCTTCTCTATATAATTTTTTTTTTTTTTAAATAGATAAATGAAAACACTATGTCCAGCATTTACTTTATACAATAGTATTTATATATGTGTGTGTGTGTGTGAGAATCAAAATTTTGACTCATATTGTATTCACACAAACATAGTAGCTTAGCCCAGTTTTATAGTAACAATTCATGATTCCTCAAGGCTTGAATGCCTACTGTGCCCTTCCAAAATGTAGTACTGCCAATAATTTTTCTATTCATCCGAACCAAGACCCATGTTAAACTATGTTTGAATCATTAATTTGAACAGACATTTATGAAGTGATGAAAGCAACAGAAAGGAAAAAAAATGACAAATAGTTTTACTTTTGTCATTTTTTCTTTATTTATACAAATATCTATTCAAATCAATGATTATTTGAAACATCCAAAGACATTCAACACCATGGTCCCCAGCCTACATCATATACACCATTCTTATCAGAGCCACAAGGCCTAAACACACATTTCGCAACTTAGAAACTCTTTTTCAGGCCTTTTTCTTTTCTTTGAGATGGCTTCAAATTCAAGGGCTCTTTCAACAACTGCCCTACTTCTCTCCCTTAACCTTATGATCTTCACTTTGGTTAGTTCCACAGATGGTCCTTGTCCACGACCTTCAAAACCTTCTGAGGAGGCTACATGCCCAGTAGATACCCTAAATTTGGGGGGTTGTGTGGACCTTTTAGAGGGTTTGTTGGGCCTTGTTGTAGGGGGTAGTACCCCACAAAAAACCCCTTGCTGCAGTCTGATTGAAGGTTTGGATGATCTTGAAGCTGCTGTTTGCCTTTGCACTGTCATTAAAGCCAGTGTCTTTGGTGGCACTAACTTAGATCTTCCTCTCTCCTTGAGCTTGCTGTTGAACTACTGCGACAAGACTCTATCATCTGAATTCCAGTGTTCTTAGAACTTGTTGCAACTTGCAAGTAAACATGTGTTTATTCATGGTTTTGTCGAATGATTTAAGTAGGGTTCTGTTTAATGTTTTGTTTGTGATTGTTGTGTGCAATACATAGAAATGGAAGCCTTACATGATCAATCTTATTATGTTTATAGAGTACATAGCAAATTGTACAATCACTTGTTCTATTTATCTCTTTCAACTTGGATGCTATCAAGCAATCCTTGGAAAATTTTAGTACACGCGGGGATTCACTGATTTTCCAGATATAGAGCATATATTATAATTTTTTTTTTCTTTTTTTTAACTTGTTATCAACCATTAAAACAAATTAATTGTAAATACTGAGCGACTAAAGAAACAATGGTAAAAAAATAATAATAATAATAAATAAAATAAACCCTTATATTACTGTTTTCTTTTGCTCTGTATTAAAAAATAAGGCATCACTTGGGATGAATATGAAGTTGTAATGTTGGAAAATAGCATTGAAAGTGTTAGAATAATAAAATTTCAAACTCCGCAAATGAGGGATGTTTTATTGCTAGTAAAAATCTTAAAATAAAAAATGAAGCTTTTTTTTAGCAACATTTGAGATTTAAAATTTGAGTTCCACATAAGTAATTAGTAAAGGTTTGAAATTAAAACCAATACATACTGATGTTGTTATAGAACACCATAATTCCTATTGAAGGAAAAGGATCAAAACTTAGAAAAATTAAAGGGAGCTGTGAAGGAGGTGGTAGTGATGGCGATAGGGGTTGGGGCGAGAAGGGAATGGGGAGGTAGGTAGCGGTGGGGATTGTTGGAAAAAGTGAATGATGAGGGAGGGATGGCAGCTGTCTATGATGAAAGGTATGCAAGAGAGGGCGGTGGGAGAGGGAGAGTAGAGTTTTGAAGAAAAGAAAGGAAGGATGAAGGTGATTATCACATAAGGAATTGTGTATTTAGGAATTGGGTTCATGCTGTGCCTGTAAGGTCCCGAGAGGGCTTGTCTCGGATTTTTTTTGTTGTTGTTAATGATCCGAATTATTTATATTGTAAAGTGTGTCGAGTAGATTATTCTTATAAAAAATTAAATTAATTGGACATCTCTATCCCTAGCACATTTGTATTTTTTTTTAAAAAATAAACAATTAATATGATTTTAATAATTTTTTAAAAATAATTAAATCTGATCATGAAGTTATAAAAATCCGATTAACTAAAAGTTCCCATAATCAAAATAGGTCTAGAAAAAAATCCAACAGCTTCTCACAACAAGATTGTTGTGCCTAGTGGCAAAACAGCCACCCAGAGTCCTAAAATGGGTCAATAAGATATCAATAATGATTGAGATTCTCATTTTTTTTGAGACCTCCATAACTCCTTTTGGATCTCCACCATTGATGGTGTGGACTCCACACATATATGAGTGGATTCCATATATACATCAATGATGGAGATCCAAAATAGATTGTGGGGGTCTTCAAAAAATAAAGGTGTCAAGCATTTTTAAGATATTGTTCTCCTTTTCCAAAGCCTCAAACCCCCCTTATAAGGGAAATTTAACCAAAACTTTTTTATTGGAGCTTTTTTTTTATTTTTTTTTAATATAAAAATGATAGTTTACTTTATTTTGTTTCATAAATCTCTGAGAAATGTTTAGGAACCCTTTGGGGATGACCCCTATACCTTCAAAGTGATCCTGACCCTCCATGTGTGTGTGTGGCCTACTCATATATGTGTGTGGTCCATATCATAAGTGGTTCAGATTTGTGAGAGTCTTATGGGGTAAAGGTCTCAGTCACCACTCTTAAACCTTTTAAGGAGGAGGCGCATAATTGAGTAAAGACAAAGTAAAATTTCATTTTTTTCTTGGACAATATTGTCAGAATAATATGTTACTATGAACTAGAATAACGGGTTAATGTAAGACAAAGTAACATGTTACTATTTACATCAATTTCGACGGTAATAATTTTTTTTTTAAAAAGAATTTCATAGTCAACATGGATCTTATTTAATAGATCTTGATGAAAGGATTCTAAAAATACTAATTTTATTAAAAATCGACATTTAGATCAAAAGTTATATTATTTTAAAATTTAATATTATGGTAATAGTAGTATGTGTTGAAATTTTTAAGGAAAACATTTTGTGCTTATTCTTCATATATTAAAGTTTTATTATGAGAGAGTTTTGATTAAATCCACCCATTTATAATTACTAGATCATTAAAATTTTTGAAGTATTGTGTTTTTGAAAAAGAATAATGCTATATACACTAATTAGTGTACCAATTGATGATGTGACATAATTTAAGAGATTTTTGGTATTTGTAATTTATGTAATGAGTGAGGTCAATAATAATATCATAACTAGTGTTGGTATACTAATTGGTGTATATAGCACCACCGTTCAAAAAATGATAAGTTGATTGAAAATATGTGGTCTAAATTTATTCTTGGAAAAAATTACACATGTAATTCTTGTATTTTGCTTTATGTCTTAATTTGAGTCATGCACTTTTAATTGACAAGATTTTGATCCAAACTAAACCAAATCAAACCTTAAGTCCCATTAAATGGGTTCAACTATATTAATCATTTTTCTCTATTCGACTCACTCGATTTTGATTCATAATTTTAGATTTCATCTCAATTTGGTTCAATTGATAATGTTGAAAAAAAATTTTGACGAAAAATGATCACTGAGTTGGTTAAGATTAACTCATTAAGTTTTTTTTTTTTTAAAAAGTGCAATTTATAGCGATAGTCCCTGTAATTTCATTTGTTTTCATTTTGGTCCTTATTGTTTCAATTTACTCAATTTTGCCTCTTAATTTTACGGATTGTGTCATATTAGTTCAATAAATAACGACGATTAAGGTTAATGGACGGAAAATCAAATGATGTTTCAAATTTGGTCCATATAGTTTACAGGATATGTCAATTTGGTCCATGTTGTTTTAACTTTCCTATAAACTATAGGGACCAAATTGACACATCCTATAAATTACAGGGACCAAATTGAAACATCATTTGATTTTCCGTCAATTAAACTTAACCGCCGTTATTTATTGGATTAATATAACACAATTTGTAAAATTAAAGGGCAAAATTAATCAAATTAAAACAATGGGGACCAAAATGAAAAAACAGATAAACTATAGGGACCATTTACATAATTTACCCAAAAAAAAAAATAATTTTCTCCCAATGACACATACCCCTCACGTGTGTACTTTTCCTATAAAAATTATAAAAAAAAAAATAAAAAAACCTCTGATAGACAATTAGTTGGACTAAATTAAAGATAAAATAATAAATTCAACATCAAAATTAAGCTAATTAAAATAACAAAAATCAAAATATAAACTATTAATATAATTTACTTTTTGTTCTAAGAATGGAAACCATTAACATTGAATACACATTGAATCTAGATCTCACATATGTTTTTTTTTTTTTATGGTAAAAATTTAGTGTTTATAGTTTATTTGTCAAGTAATACACAAAAAATAAAAAAAATATGGCTCCTAATTTTTTTTTAAATAAGAAGAAAGAAAATAAAAAAATCTGAACGGTTACGTCGATTATTGCAACGGTCACGATCCCACGTGACGCCGTTCCCTCTTCACAAAACCAAACTTCCCACCAAAAAAACTGAAAAATCCCCAATCCAAACAAAGCACGCACAACACAACACAACACAAAACAGAGTACTCTGTTTTTACTTAGAAATGGCAAAGGGATACGCAATATTGCAGAGGAAACTGGAACAACTCGAATCTGATCTCCTCCAAGTCCTCTCCCTCCCTCCCGAGACTCCCTGCCACCAACTCCTGTCCGAGGGCATCAAACAACGCTTCGTCTTCTTCACCAACCTCTTATCCACCGAGTTATCATCAGCATCATCATCACCATCTCACTCTTCCAAGACTAACTACCAATTGCGCCACATCGCGAACCGCCTTTCCCAATTCGAGTCCGCCTTTCGCGACTGGGACCATCACCAAATTTCCTCCCTCGCCGCTCCTGCCTCTGCCGAGACCTGTTCTTGCACCGAGTCTTGTGTCAATGACGACGGGGATATGGGTTCCACCGAGTTGGGTGATCAGGCGTTTTATGAAGATGATTATGATGATGATGATAATGATGATTACGTGGAAGTGTTTGAAGAGCCAGTGGTGGAAGAGAAGGCGACGATGACGATGGCAATGGCAATGGCGACGGAGTCGGTTGGAGTTGAGAGGGATGTGAAGAAGGAGGAGGAGAAGGAAGGGAGGGTTTGGGGTTGGAGTAGGTATTGTGGGGTGATGGGTGGTGGAGTGGTGGTTGGGGCTTTGTTGATGGGTTTTGTTATGGTGAGGTTTTGTGATTGTTTTAATTGTTACTTACAACATGGAGATTCTCTTTCTCTTATTCCTACTTAGCCTGAAATTAATTTGTCTTCCTAGAACACCATGTGATTTGTGATTTTTTCAAATTATTTCTGGTTTTTGGGTCATGGAATAAATTATTCTTTTTAATTTTAAGTTTATGTTTAACTTATTTTATTGAGTTACTATACATTGATAGATGATGATGATGATGTTGTGTTAATCACATTTTTCTAACCATTTATCATATCATGATGAAAGTTTGTAAAGTTGAATTTGTATATGTAGATGGTGTCTCCTTCATCTTACTAATACCGGTAATTTTTTCGTGTTTCTTTTATTTTTCAGATTTTAGGAAAGTGATTACATACATAAATTTTGTATAAAAAATATATGATATAAAATAATGTAAAAATGATTTATGTTCGAACTAAAATATAGTAAGCCTTTCTCATTGATAATTTTTAGTAGTTTTTCAAAAACTACTTTATTCATGTTTTCAAATTTGCCAAATGGTAGCAATGAAAATAAAATTTAACTTTCTATTGTTAAAATCATTTTTTTTTCATATTTAAAATAATCCGTTAAAATTACTCATGCGGATACTTTCCAATACCTTTCTCTCGTTACCGAAAACCTTTGATTACTTGTGAATTATTATCTTCAATATCATTTGTATATTCCTTCTAGCCACAATGTGGCGATGAATTTTAAAGGGTGGGTTCATGAAATTTATTTAAAATACGAATTATTCATGTTGTTAAAATATATTTTGGTAGAATTTTTTTTATTATTTAAGAGAATTATAAAAAATAAACTACTCTTTTATACAACCATAGTTGAAATATATTTATGATATTATTAAAAATTATTAATTGATTTAATCATTTATATTTATTAATAAAAATGATAATTTATTGTGTGATTAGAAATTTGAAAGTCTACTCTTTTTTTAAAAGAGCAAAGAAATTCAATTGTTTTCTACCTTTTTAAGTCCCAAATATCATTTAAACTAATTACTCTTTGTATCATAGTCAATTGAAACATGTTTACCGCAACAACCTTTTATTTAGGAGTTTGAAACATTTGAGAGTACAAAACTAAATCAATAATGCTATGGTTACTTACAAACCTACTAAGAGCATATCCAACGTTTATTTATTTTTTCATATATTAAATTTGAGTGAAAAATTAAGTAAAAACTTGATCTGATATTGAGCATTCTAACAAAGGATTTTGAATTTTCATCAAGGACTAGTTAGTGCAAATTTTTACTATAAATTGCAAGGAAGTGGACGTCCGAGGGGACAATTGGCCAATTATCCAGTGTTGCTGCCTGTGCTCTGCATCTCCAACGGCTATTTATAATAATTTGATGAAAAGCTCCAGCCATCCCTAATTTGATGAAAAGTTTATCATATTCTCAATTTGATGAAAAGTTTAACATATTCTCAATTTGATACTGATTTGATGATAGTGTTGGGGCACTAAAATTAGAATCTTTTCACCAAATTTAAATTTAATGAAAGAAAAGATACAACCTCAAAGACACTCTAACAACTCTACAGAAAAGTTACATGACATGACATATCACTTTCCCTTAACCTATTTATTGAATTACTATACATTGATAGATGATGATGATGATGATGATGTTGTGATAATCACATTTTTCTAACCATTATCATATCATGATGAAAGTTTGTAAAATTGAATTTGTATATGTAGATGGTGTCTTCTTCATCCTACTGATACTGGTAGTTTTTTTCGTATTTCTTTTATTTTTCAAATTTTAGAAAAGTGATTACATAAATAAAATTTGTATAAAAAATATATGATATAAAATAATGTAAAAGTGATTTAAGTTCGAACTAAAGCATTGTAAGCCTTTCTCATTGTTAATTTTTGAGTAGTTTTTCAAAAACTACTTTATTCATGTTTTCAAATTTGCCAAATCGTAGCAATAAAAATAAGATTTAACTTGTTATTGTTAAAATCATTTTTTTTTTTCATATTGGAAATAATCCGTTAAAATTACTCATGCAAAGGCTTTCCAATACCTTTCTCTCATTACTGAAAGCTTTTAATTACTCATGAAATTATTATCTTCTACATCATTTGTACATCCCTTCTAGCGAGGATGTGGCCATGAATTTTTAAAGGATGGACTCATCAAAATTTATTTAAAATACGAATTATTTATGTGATTAAAAATATATTTTGTCAGAAATTTTTTATTATTTAACAGAATTATAAATAATAAACTACTCTTCTATACATCCATAATTAAAAAATATTTTGACATTATTAAATAAAAATAATCATTTATAAAACTAAATAATCATTTATAAAACCAATATTTATAAATAAAAACAATCATTTATTATACGATTAAATATTTGAAGAGACGTGATATGTATATTCTACTTTAGAAAGAGCGAAGAAATCCAATTGTGTCATGGCCATTTGAAACATGGTTACCCAAACAATCTTTTATTTAGGAGTTTGAAACATTTGGGAGTACAAAACTAAATTAATTACAAACCTACTAACAACTCTACAAAAAGTTTACATAGTACTTCTTTTGTCCCAAAATAATAATTTCTTTTCAGAAATTCAACTTTTTTTTTAAGACGGAGGGAATACGACATAGCACTTTCCTGAGCCCCACTTTCATAGACAAATCATTATTAAAAAAAATGAAAAATGAATCCTTGCAATCTGCAAGAAAGTCCAGAAATAGTGCGATCTTCGACTTCCTCTCTCTCACATCACTTTACTAAACCAAAGTATTCGTTTGCATATAATCTATCGTCTCTCTCTTTACAAGTTCTCTCTCTCACTTCGTGGATCTAACTGGGTCTTTCTCATATCTCCGATAATTGTCTGAACTAATGATGAACTGATGATCAACGCTAACATTCTGGTGAAATCAACTGATATCTGACAAAGAGCAGAGGAAGAAAAATAAAAAAAAAAGATAGGTAATTTAACAATTTTAGGGATTTCTTGTTTTGATTGAATAATTTTTTGAGTTGAAATTTCAAAGATTTTGATTTCGGATTTTTTTTATTTTTTTATTATTATAATGTAGTGTATCTTGGGAGTTCACAAATTTAGGTCTCAATATTACTGAAAATCATCAAATATTGGACTTCAAAAATTTCTGATTTGAAATCCAACTAAAATTTCGTTTGATTTGAGATTTGGCTTAGATTTCAAATTTTCTTGAAATCCATACTTCATCCAACTAAAATTTCTGATTTATTTTAGTATTGTCTGATTTGAATCCCCTAATTTTGTTGAGCTTCAATTGCAACTAGGGGTGATCGCGGATCGGGTTGGGTCGGGTCGCGTCTCATCTGTTATCTGTCCAAAATTAGGTGAATTGAAAAAAGTCAATCCACATCCGTCTACTGATTTGACATATGCGAATTGAGGGGGCCGTTTGAATTGGCAGATGGATGCGATCGGTTTGGCAATTTGAACTTTACAAATTTTGAGTATTTTTTTGAATTATAATTCATAGTTTTTACAATCTCCAATAAGTATTAATCTGGGGAAAAAAAATGTGTTATTTGTCTATAATAGGCCATGGCACTACATATGCATATTTTTAAGGTATTGTTTTCTATTTTTACAAATATATATGTTTTATTATTTCTACTCTATTTTGTTACTTGTTAGTAATTTTTTTGTTTTTTTTTTTGAAGTTCATCAATGGGCGGATCGGGTTCACGCGGGTGCGGGATGGTTGATCGGTCATCTGAACCGTATCTGTGAATTTTAAAATATTTCATCTGTATCCATCCGCCGAAAGATACGTATCTGTCCAAAATCAATCAGGTTGGATCGATTCAGTCGGGTTAGGTGAGTTGGACGGATCCATGATCACCTCTGGTTGCAACATTCAAGGGGTATCAGTATTTGATGAAATGAAGTTAAAAGGCAAGAAGCATACTAGTAACAAAAGTTTCTTTGTCTGTTGTGTTATTTGTTGGGTAGTTCAAATGGTTTGTTTAAGAACAAGAACTTACCAATGCAAATAAGAGCTTACAATTGAACCAATGTGTTTATTGCTGATTGAGTATTGGATGGAAAGGAAATGCTATTTTGTTTGGTGGAAGAGTAGTAGTTTGGTGAGAATTTGTAGTTATGAATTTATGTTTTTATTCTTCTTTGTAGACTACGTCTCAGGCTTTGTTTTTCTTATTACTTGGAAGCATTATTGTTAACATTTGTTATGTGGTAGCCTGTTTCCATGTCCATTGTCAAGCTTTTTACATGCTATCATTTATTATCTTTCTTGAATAAAATTTTATCTTTTACCAACCCAAACTATAAAAATAAAAATGCAAGATATTTCAAGGAAAGCTCCAAATTTGTTATTTTGATACAGTGGGAGCTATAAGATTGTTCATAGCAAAGTTTTTATTTTTTGTTTTTTATTATCTTCCTCTTTTAGGTATGCAAATTTGGATGTTGCTTTTATCTAGTTGCATTATTTTTGCATTTTGTGTGGGTAAAGGTGGTAACTAGTTTGATATCAGATATTAATGATGAAATCGTGTTTTCATGTGAGAGCGGCAATTACAGTTGTAGAGTTGGAGAACTCATTGTTAATTTTTGAGTAGTTTTTCAAAAACTACTTTATTCATGTTTTCAAATTTGCCAAATCGTAGCAATAAAAATAAGATTTAACTTGTTATTGTTAAAATCATTTTTTTTTTCATATTGGAAATAATCCGTTAAAATTACTCATGCAAAGGCTTTCCAATACCTTTCTCTCATTACTGAAAACTTTTAATTACTCATGAAATTATTATCTTCTACATCATTTGTACATCCCTTCTAGCGAGGATGTGGCCATGAATTTTTAAAGGATGGACTCATCAAAATTTATTTAAAATACGAATTATTTATGTGATTAAAAATATATTTTGTCAGAAATTTTTTATTATTTAACAGAATTATAAATAATAAACTACTCTTCTATACATCCATAATTAAAAAATATTTTGACATTATTAAATAAAAATAATCATTTATAAAACTAAATAATCATTTATAAAACCAATATTTATAAATAAAAACAATCATTTATTATACGATTAAATATTTGAAGAGACGTGATATATATACTCTACTTTAGAAAGAGCGAAGAAATCCAATTGTGTCATGGCCATTTGAAACATGGTTACCGAAACAATCTTTTATTTAGGAGTTTGAAACATTTGGGAGTACAAAACTAAATTAATTACAAACCTACTAACATACATAGTACTTCTTTTGTTCTAAAATAATTTTTTTTTTTTTGTTGAGAAATTCAACTTTTTTTTAAGACGGAGGGAATATGACATATCACTTTCCTGGGCCCCACTTTCATAGACAAATCATTATTAAAAAAAAAAGAAAATGAATCCTTGCAATTTGCAAGAAAGTCCAGAAGTAGCGAGATCTTCGACTTCCTATCTCTCACATCACTTTACTGAACCAAAGTATTCGTGTGCGTACAATCTATCGTCTCTCTCTTTACAAGTTATCTCTCTCACTTTGTGGATCTAACTGGGTCTTTCTCCTATCTCCGATAATCGTCTGAATTAATGATAAACTGATGATCAACGCTAACATTCTGGTGAAATCAACTGATATCTGACAAAGAGCAGAGGAAGAAAAATAAAAAAAAAAAAGATAGGTAATTTAACAATTTTAGGGATTTCTTGTTTTGATTGAATAATTTTTTGAGTTGAAATTTCAAAGATTTTGATTTCGGATATTTTTTTTTTATTTATTTTTTTTATTATAATGTAGTGTATCTTGGGAGTTCACAAATTTAGATCTCAACATTACTGAAAATCATCAAATATTGGACTTCAAAAATATCTGATTTGAAATCCAACTAAAATTTCGTTTGATTTGGGATTTGGTTTAGATTTCAAATTTTCTTGAAATCCATACTTCATCCAACTAAAATTTTTGATTTATTTTAGTATTGTCTGATTTGAATCCCCTAATTTTGTTGAGCTACAATTGCAACTAGGGGTGATTGCAGATAGGGTTGGGTCGGGTCGCATCTCATCTGTTATCTGTCCAAAATTAGGCGAATTGAAAAAAGTCAATCCACATCCGTCTACCGATTTGACATATGTGAATTGAGGGGGCCGTTTGAATTGGCAGATGGATGCGATCGGTTTGGCAATTTAAACTTTACAAATTTTGAGTATTTTTTTGAATTATAATTCATAGTTTTTACAATCTTCAATAAGTATTAATCTGGGAAAAAAAAGTGTGTTATTTGTCTATAATAGGCCATGGCACTATGTATGCATATTTTTAAGGTATTGTTTTCTATTTTTACAAATATATATGTTTTATTATTTCTACTCTATTTTGTTACTTGTTAGTAAATTTTTTGTTTTTTTTTTTGAAGTTCATCAATGGGCGGATCGGGTTCACGCTGGTGCGGGATGGTTGATCGGTCATCTGAACCGTATCTGTGAATTTTGAAATATTTCATCTGTATCCATCTGCCGAAAGATACGCATCTGTCCAAAATCAATTAGGTTGGATCGATTCAGTCGGGTTAGGTGAGTTGGACGGATCCATGATCACCTCTGGTTGCAACATTCTAGGGGTATCAGTATTTGATGAAATGAAGTTAAAAGGCAAGAAGCATACTAGTAACAAAAGTTTCTTTGTCTGTTGTGTTATTTGTTAGGTAGTTCAAATGGTTTGTTTAAGAACAAGAACTTACCAGCGCAAATAAGAGCATACAATTGAACCAATGTGTTTATTGCTGATTGAGTATTGGATGGAAAGGAAATGTTATTTTGTTTGGTGGAAGAGTAGTAATTTGGTGAGAATTTGTGGTTATGAATTATGTTTTTATTCTTCTTTGTAGACTACGTCTTAGGCTTTGTTTTTCTTATTACTGGGAAGCATTATTGTTAACATTTGTTATGTGGTAGCCTGTTTCCATGTCCATTATCAAGCTTTTTACATGCTATCATTTATTATCTTTTTTGAATAAAATTTTATCTTTTACCAACCCAAACTATAAAAATAAAAATGCAAGACTGTTCAAGAAAAGCTCCAAATTTGTTATTTTGATACAATGGGAGCTATAAGATTGTTCATAGCAAAGTTTTTATTTTTTATTATCTTCCTCTTTTAGGTATGCAAATTTGGATATTGCTTTTATCTCGTTGCATTATTTTTGCATTTTGTGTGGGTAAAGGTGGTAACTAGTTTGATATCAGATATTAATGATGAAATCGTGTTTTCATGTGAGAGCGGCAATTACAGTTGTAGAGTTGGAGAAGACAAGCTAAGGGAGGCTGGATTTTGCTTTTGAAATGAAGAAATACTTCTGTTTATGAGCTTTCTTGCCGAATAGTGTAAATTTTTTGTTTGTACTCTCAATGAAGTAGTTATTTTTGTTTGTGAGATGAAAGCTGCAATTTTTATTTACTTATTTTGTGTATTTTATAATGAAACTATTTTGCCTTGTTATATTGTAATGAAACTACTATGGGATTGTAATGAATGCTTCATATTGTAATAAATATTGTGCTGAGTGGCTGAATGATTTTGTTGTGTGTTGTGGTTTTTAATAAATGAAATGTGCTATGGTGATTGTGATTTTATTGTTTCTTGCTCATAGAAAATGTCGAAATACTGTCAAAATAGATCAAATAACATAGATCAAACAAAATAAAACAACACAAAACACAATGAACTTCAAATAGAGATCAAACATCACTTAAGTTTGAATAGTAGTAATGTCTTGGGGGAGATGGGTTTTGTTTCTTTTTCTTGAACTGAGTTTGTTGCTATGCTGTTTTCTGTAAGGTAATGTTGAATCTTCTCCAACTCCCCTGCTTTTCTTTCTATTTTTTTCTGTTGGGCTGCCCTGATGCATCTTTGTCACCTTGTGTTTTGTTTTCCTTTGTTGTATTTCTTTCTCTTTCTATTAATATATTTCCTCTTTACTGATCAAAAAAAAAAAAAAACAAAACAAAACAAAACAAAAGTTTAAATACTAGTTACAATTTGTAATCCAAGTTAAAAAATACAACTGTGTATATCAGTGCTCTTCATTTATACAATCTTTGTGCAATGTTGGAGTTAATTAATGAACTATCCTATGGTGGTGGTTATGGCTTTATAATTTTTTGTTCACAGAAAATACCTAAATGTTGCCGAAATGCTACTAAAATGGTCAAACATATATCTAACAAAACAAAACAAAACAAAACAAACAATCCTCATTAACTTCAAATTAATAGAGATTAAGCAGCATCACTTGAGTTCAAATAGTTGTCACAATGTGTAATGAAATTAGAAAAATACAACTGTTTGATGTCAATGCTCTTCACTTTTGTCACCTTTGTGCAATGTTGGAGCTTTAGCTTGTGCCATATCATTCATTGTCAACATTCTTGTGAAATTGTTGGCATACATTACTCCTCCCATCTGTAAGTCAACCCTCCAAGATGGATATGGAGATGGAGATGGATGATGATGATCCTAATAATAAATAAAATAAAATAAAAATGGTTACTTTTATTAAAGAATACACTCAACTAAGTTATGATTTACTAATAGAATTAAATTAGTGCATACCTTGAATGGATACATGCCAACTCCTTGTTTGAACATACTTGCTTGAAATGACAAATTTCTTCCTTGTAACGGATTTGGCTGACCAAAATATGGACTCATCCCAATGATACTTGGATGACCAGTCATGTTTGGCCACATGCCCAATCCCCTATTATAGTCATAGCATTCTTGTCTGATATGCCGTGACTGTTGCATTTTAGAATTCTACAACCTAAATTTTAATAACTCATTCTTCTCTATGGTTAAAGTCATATTTTAAAGTTACTACCAACTAGTTATGAAAAAAAATATATCTTCACTAAGTTTGTTTTACTTGCATTTAAGTGAATATTTTCCTTTGTCACAAGTTCAACAACTCTTGCACCATGCATATTGCCATCGTTCTGCAGCTCCTGCACAAATGTAAAGTAATCAAAGTTAGCAATTATTGTGAGCAATAGTACAACAACTATAAGTAATCAATAAAATTCATTAACACCACGACGTTCTTCGGATTTCTCACAATTTGTTTGTGCACATTTTCCTCGCAAGTTATGCTACGCATTTTATTTTTTTCTTAACAACTTTTTTAACCATGGATTGCGTCTTTTAAATAGTGGGCACCCTTTTGAATAAGTTACCAAGCA